AAAACTTTAAATTTCAAGAAACAAACAAGTCACTATAGCGATGCTGCCATGAGAATGTTTAACGTAATGTACGAAATAGTTTGAGCAGAATTATACTGAATTCCAATTCTGTAGTATAAATTATTGTCAGTATAGAAGTTTTGATATAAAGAAGAAGAAAAGAATGTAATTAGCCAATGACATCTTTCCTCAACTTTTGTTTGGTTATCTCTTATTCATTTACAGTGCTATCTATAATGCTCAATAAAATGGTGAATTAATACAATTTCACTGTATCGTTTAACAGCTAAATACAGTGATTGTGCCTGTGGTCCTAGTTGGAATTTTTATAACTAGCATACTTATTGCGACTCTGCTAATTTAAGAAATAGTTATGTGTTAGGATAGCACTTCTTATAAGTATTGGAAAATTGAGATCTGGGTAGGATTTGAACCCGTGACTGCCTGTCGGCACTTTAGCCTACTAAAGTATCATTCAGATAAGTAGCATAGCAGGAATTAAATACTATATCTATGCAAGGGAGAATTGTTCATTACTCTCACCCTGCAAGGGTAGTGCAATCAGATGAGAAATCAGAATGGGACAGTCCTACTCAAATTTGGTCCGGATTTGGATTCTGTATCACTTTCACACATTTTTTTATAATTGGCATTTTCAAGGTTTTCACTTAATAACTCTTTTAAAACTCCTGTAAGCTGATGTGACATATACTGTAAAGTTTTTGCCCCTGTAAGCTGATGTGACCAATTAAGTTAGTTTTTTTATTAGATGGGGTTGAAAAGTTGTTGTGATTAATCACTGTCACCTTATTAATTTATTTATGTATTGTTAGTTATACTTTCCTTTAATTTTGCCACTTTTTCAAAATATTCCTGCATATTATTATGTGACAACAGTTATCAGTCATCCCCCCCCCCGTGGCTGAGCAGTAAAATTGAGGACTTGTAATGCTAATAATGAGGGTTTTAAACCTGCATTGGGTACAGTGCAGATAGTCCATTGTGTAGCTTGTGTCTCAACACACACAAAAAACAGTCACATGATTCTGAGTAGTAACTAGTTACCTCAGGTCATTCGAAATGCCATACAGAGAGCAACATAATGAGATTTTTTCCCTTGTAAATGTAGAAACAGGTGACAAAAATTGTTAAAAGTCTCTATATGAGAGAGAAATAGTACAGATGCACAGTTTATATGATCTTACTGGTTAGTCACGTGAGGTAGTTAAAAATGCCATGACTGCATCTGTCACACACACACACACTGGACGAGTTCAGTGGATTTCCATGGTGACTCATGCATGAGGATTCATGCTCATCTATTAAAGAGTTGTGTCCGACGATATGCTCATTTATTGAAAATGCAGAACAAGCACAAGTTAAATAAATTCCTAATATTCCCCCCACACTCTGTACTTATTGTAAAAAATATAAAACCGAAATCACGTCACTAACAAAATCTTAGCTGTGGAAAAAAATGCTTAAAATTGTTGAGTTGACCTATCTATTGCATACATCAACATAACAGTATTGAAGTGGCCTATTACATACACCAACATAACACTTTTGAGTTTATCTATCTATTACATATACCAACATAACATTGTTGAATTGGCCAATTACATACACTAATGTAATAATGTTGAGTTGACCTATTATGTTCACCAACCTAACACTTTTGAGTTGACCTGTCTGTTACTTACATATTTGAGTTGGTCAATCTATTATGTACACTAACATAACATTATTTATTTGAGCTATATATCTTTTACTTACCTCAACATAATTGTTCAGTTGACCTATATATCTATTATGTACAACATTGGAACACTTTTGAGTTGACATATCTGTTGCCTACAGCAACATAATATTGTTCAGTTGAGCTATGTATCAATTACACATGCCAACATTACATTATTGAATTGACATATCTATGAAGTTCACCAAAATAACATTGAGTTGAGCTACATATCTATTATGCACACCAACATAACATTGTAGGGTCAACATGTCTATTATGTATGGCACAATGAAACTATTAAGTCTGAGTGCATTACATCTACAACCTTAACAACATCAAAAAGTGTGTATTTTCAAGTTTTCCAATGTTGAAAACAAACATTGTTTGAAACAGACAACTGTCCTATACAGATGCCAAGCTGCTGCCCTCCTTGGTAACTTGTAGTATTAATTTTTATCAGCAATGTGACGATAAAGCATATCTCTACTACTGCTATTTTGGATGAGTTGGCAGTAATGATGTATAATAGGACAGCAGCTGTGACTGTATTGTACTAAAAAATGGGATTTTTGGAAGCTCCACACAGACACATGTCTTTAATCATGAAAATAAACATACAATAACAGTATATAGCAACACACTTTTTTATTTTCCCCATCGTGTACAGTTGCTACCTGCACCTTACACTAGTGTTTTCACGTGGATGATGATGTTCACTTATTCCTATACAGTTACTGGTTTACCAACTTAGCATATCTCACATTTTTAAAACTGGTTAAATTTCATGCATTTTTTTCCCTCCCTCCTACACAGATACTTAATGATAACTATTGTTTTATAGTGATGTTCAGCATATTCATATGATAAGTAAATTACCTGTCAGAGTCTTCAAACAGTGTATTGTTCTCTATGAAGCTAAAATCTAACACAATGATGCACTTTCTTAGTGTATGATATCATTCTCGCCTATCACTGGGATAGAACAATTGTTGAAAATAGCATGGATAACACACTGAATAAAACAGGCAGACAGAGTTTCACAGTGTATGATATTTTCGTCACAGAGGCAGAACACTCGTTGAAAAGTGCATGGATCACACAGTGAATAAAACAGGCAGACAGACTTTCACAGTGTATGATATTTTCATCACTGAGGCAGAACACTAGTTGAAAATAGCATGGATAACACAGTGAATGAAATAAACATACCAACTTTTTCATATTATTGTAAGATAAACTTATCAATGAGGTAATACAGTGGTTAAATAGTGTGTGTGTGAGTAATATTATAGTTTTTAAGAAATACGGTTAGTGTAGTTTTTTGTGTAAACTATTACTGTGAGACTCCTGCATATTAATAGTTGGGCTTTAACATCTTGATGGCTAGGATCTCTGAAGTATGTAGACTTTGTTCAGTGGAAACTCAAAAAGGAACTTTTTTTGTTGTTCTGAGAGAGGTATCAAATTCGTTTTGAGGATTCAAGGAGGTGTGAGTTGTTGCAAGTTCAATAATTCTTTGTCACACACACCTAAATATTCTAGACTTAACATGTAGGGTTCCTTCTCCAATATTTTTTGAGATTTAAAAAGATCGTTAAAAAGCATTTTTTTTTTGTATCACTTTCTCTATCAGTGCTTTCTATATGGTTTTCTGGGAAGTAAAATCATAATTATTAGGTGAGATAGTTCATTGTGCAGAATTGTGCTTGAAGCAACAAATATTAAGTAAAAATGTTTCTTGCTCTTCTCAATAATTTTTATTGCTTGTGCTGTTGGTTCATAGTAGTAATATTAAACTTATTTGGTAGATTTTAGTTTAACTTCAACCTTCCATTTGTCTGTGTACAGAGAACTATGACAAATGACTAATACACTGCAAAACAATGTTCCCTGTTTTTTTTTTCAAAATACATTTGTATTTAAAGGTATCATCTGAAGTTTATCCTTGAAATAGTAACATATGTTATGTATTAATATTTCAAATGGTCTTAAATTGAGTTAAATTGATAATTTAAATTTAGTAGTTAAATTATACTTTGGATTTAGTAGTTAAGTAAAAGCCGATATATATAGTCAGTTTATGATATTTGCCAACAAGATTGATACACATAGTTTTCTTTTTATACAAATATGTTTAATATACACACAACAATACAATTTACAATAACACTTATTACAAATAATTATTATAAACAAATGTTTCACAAACTTACAAGCAGTATAGTCTTCTTTCCAATCTGGAACTTTCTTGATATCTTATCAAGGGTTCACGATGAGCGAGTTCATGTAGATACGATTCACTTAACAGGGAGCTAGCTAGCCCTGTAGTTTTCACTGTTCATATGCCTATTAGAGATTGAGTTTCCACCGATAACGTTAAGTAATGTTTTCGTAAAAACAATAACGTCCGATGAGAATCCACTGAAGTTAAATGATTTATAATGTTCGAACTTTGTAAAGGTTCCTGGTCTCACAGGTCTCTTCCTTTGGGGATGGGGAAGAACCCTATTGATTTTGGGGGTTAAAAGGGTCAAGTGTCGAGTTCACTATTTTAAAAGTCATATATTTAGTTTATGTGCATAGGAAAATAACTATAAACACACACACAAGTATCATATTTGTCAACACACAAACCAAAATATACAAGCTAATTGTTTTAGGAAAATTTTCTATTTTATTTTACTGTTTTTATCCATTTACCTTGCTAAATTTTGGCAGGCAAAGAAGTTAAACACCAACAATATGTCCAAATAGTCTTTTGTTTGTCTAAGTAATCTTCTCTTATTAAGTAAATGACTTGTTTTAATAGTCATCTCCTATTAGATACATAATTTGTCTAAAGTCTTCTGTTAAGTAAAGAAATGTCTGAATAGTCTTCTCCTGTTAAGTAAATGACTTGACTGAATTCTCTTCTGTTAAGTAGATGGTTTGTTTGACTAGTCTTTTGTTAAATAAATGATATGTCTGAATAGTCTTCTCCTTTTTAGTAAATGTATATCTGGATAATCTTTTACTATTAAAAAAATAACTGTCTGAATAGACTTCTCCAATTAAGAAAATACTTGTCTGAATAATATTCTCTTATGAAGAATATGTTTGTCTGGATAATATTCTCTTACTAAGAAAATGTTTGTCTGAATAAACTTCTAGTAAGAAAATGTTTGTATGGATAGACTTCTATTATTTTTGTTATATTTGTAGCTGTAATTATTAAGATCTTGTTGAAAATTTTAAAGATCTGTTTAACTCTTCTCTGCAGATGTACAGACACTAGACACACTCCAAGCCTTATGTCTACCCCTTGGAGCATCCATATCTCTCCTTATCATGTTCTTTTTTTTTGATTCAATGCAGGTGTTATTTGCCATTTGTACAGCCAGTAAGTTTTAACTTTTGTTAGTCATTATATTCTTATTTAAAGATGCACTATGGATGAATAAAATTTATTTATTTATTTTGATTACATTTAGTTTAAATTAGAATTAGCCTCTATGGTATTTTATTCTTCAAAAGTTTTGCATTGAGATTTTGTTTCATTATAAATTTATATGACATTACTATGTAGGAAAAGCCATTATCATTAGGTTTAAGTTTTTTATCGAATAAAGCATTGAAGTAACACAACATTGAAGTAAAAATAAATTTATTTCATCTGGCAGTATTTCAAGTAACAGCTCTTTTCAGATTTAATATGAAAAAGAAAACAAAAATTTTCTTGTTTTTTCTCTGTTATCTTCTGCATTCTTCTTCATGGACAAATATTATTCTATTAAATTTAGTTATATTTAATATATCTCTCGCTCTAAATATTTTTGATTATGTTGTGGTTATAACATTTTAAATTTTTGTTGTTTTGTAGTCATTGCTACCATTGCATTGGCTTTCCTGTTGTTGCCGATGTGCCAGTACATTATTAGGCCATGTTCTGATGGCACTAAGTAAGTTATGACTAGTCAATTAACTTATTAATGAGTTGTGCTTAATGACCTACTGGTTTTCAGGAATATTTAACTAAATGGAGATAAAGCATAAAAACTGTAAAATTCTGTGTCATTATTTTAAACATACATACCATGTCTGGAAAGTTATTAATATTTATATTTGAATGTGTTGTAATTTTTGTGAGGCCCACATTGAGCTACCATGAATGCAGTAACACACCTCTGATGATCTAATGGAATTCTAGATGTAAATACATTCTTTAAAAAATAAACAGATTGTTAACATACCTTCAGTCAAGGCTCCTAAAATTCTGTGATTTTTCACTGGTTGACAGATTGTGCCATACCAGCACAGCTTTAGTGTCATAAAACAATTGTCAATAAACAGTTTCTTTTTCCTTGTTTTTCTATTTACTCTTTTTTTCCATGTTTCTTTGCTTTTTTTATACTTTTTATTTCCAAGTTTTTGCCATGTTCCCCTTTTCTATTTTCCCATGAACCAAACTTTTTTCTGGATTTCCAAATTCTTTAAATTATTCCCTTACCTTATGGACATTTATTTGGGAGACATATCCCCCCCCCCCTGAATTGTAGTAATCATTGTAGCAAAGGTTCAAGGTTTCTATATCTGAAATTCAAGTAAGCAATTTTGTAAACATAACTTTTGAACATGTTGTGTAGTCACAATTTTTGTTTTTAATACTACTGATTATGAGATTACTGAAAATGGAATTCTTGAGTACATTTCTCAACAGAAATCATTTGTTTGTAAATACATTATTTTTTTATTTACAAGAAGGTTTTGAAATGGTTTGTCACAGTAAATTCACCTTCAAGAAATGTTAAGTAACTGCATTAAAGATTTCAAGAGCGATGATTACAGTTAAGCTAAGTTTTGCACACCTTCAGGGCATCCTAAGAACTTGAAGATCTTATGGCTTAATTTCATTCTTATTTTTTAATGTGTGACCAACTAAATGTATAAATGATAAAAAAAAAAATTAACTGATTATTAAAACAGATTTCATGCACTCTCTTCAAGAAAAAAAAAATTCACTAAAAACAAACACCATGAACTACCTGTATAACAATAAAATAGTTTGCATCTCACCAATGGATAAAATGTTAGCTTTATTCTGACTGATTTCATTTTAATAGAGGTTTTATATCTTCTAGCTGCTATTTTTAGGAAAAGTTTTGTAACAGGACTATAATACTGAAGTGAAGATTTTCAGCCACATAGTCTCTCTCTTTTAAGTAGCATTTTTAATTATTTGTACCATGTTAAACCTTTCAAGACAAGGAGATAAGTTGTCTTGTGTTTTAATTTTTCTTTCAGAATCTCTTTTGGAATCTGTGGAAGGTTTACAGCTGGAGAACTAGTTTCATTTTCTCTGTCCATTACTATTGTTTGTATCTGGGTCCTAACTGGGCACTGGATTCTTATGGATGGTAAGTTGTTATTCATAATCATATTCATAAGTAATGAGTGGATTCTTATGGATGATAAGCTGTTAATCATCATCATCTCCCTAAGCAGTGAGTGGATTCTTGTGGATGATAAGCTGTTAATCATCATCATGTCCCTAAGCAGTGAGTGCATTCTTATGAATGATAAGCTGTTAATCATCATCATGTCCCTAAGCAGTGAGTGCATTCTTATGGATGATAAGCTGTTAATCATCATCATGTCCCTAAGCAGTGAGTGCATTCTTATGGATGATAAGCTGTTAATCATCATCATGTCCCTAAGCAGTGAGTGGATTCTTACGGATGATAATTTATTAGTCATCATCACATCCTTATGCAGTGAGTGGATTCTTATGGATGATGTGTTGCTAGTTATCATCATGCCCCTAGACAGTGAACGGATTCTCATGGATGATGTGTTGTTAGTCATCATCATGCCCCTAGGCAGTGAGTGGATTCTTATGAATGATGTGTTTATATTCATCATCATGCCTCCAGACAGTGAGTGAATTTCTATGGATGATAAGTTGTTAGTCATCTTATCACCATATTCATGTATAACCACTGATAATTTCATGGTGGTAAGATATAAATCATCATTTCTTACTTGTGGATAACAATGTCTTGTGTTTACATCATTGTCTGCTTACTACCATGCACACCATATTTGTTTCTACGTTTTCTAAGTTCATAAAGATTTTGGAAACTTGTAGGTTTTCATGATTTATGTTGACTGGTAATTTCATACACAGTTCTGTTGTCTTAAATAAATATTCTACATATTATATATGTATCTTGACATCAGGGAACAAAATAGTTTTGTTGATTTGATTATCAGAAACTGCTAATCAATACTGAATTTTATTAGCAATTAGCAAATATTGCTTAGCATCTTTTTAACATTCAACATTTTAACACATTATGGCAACTAAATTCAATGCTGAAAGTCTTAAGTTTGTAAAGACATCCACTAATTAAGAGAGGTAAATGGTATGTTTTATTCTAATAACATATTTATTCAGCTTCAAACCCAAATATTTAATTGTACCATACATAGCATTTCATGAACAAAATAGTTCCTGGTATACAAAGTGACTTTTCAGCAGGAAATGCAGCACAGGGTGGGCCAATTTTCTTCATTCTGACAAGCATCTCAAGAGAATCAGTTGACAGTGTTGACCTCCAGTCTGTTTTATCTTTGTTCATGAAAAACATCTTTCCACAGTGCCATTAAACCATGGTAAAACTTGCAAAATATTTATGAACTTGTATACTGTTGGAAACGTTTTGAAATGATATTTATGACATGATAGAAAGTTAAGATTCATTTGCAAAATTGTCCCTCACAAATATTTTAAGTTGATTCCATTCAGGTAAAACATTACTCTCTTCATAATCCTTCACACTTTCATAAAGAAGATCATACCATAGGCCTCAAGGATTTTTTTCATAATCATTTGGCCAAAGCCTTGTGTCTAGAAGTTTTGCACATCCCAATATTTCATTTTCCTTATTAAACCTATCCTCACACTCTTTTTTTCAATGATTTCAGTATACTCTTTAGAGTGCTTCAAGAAAATGTCAAATACAGTTGACATCTTTCAGGAGAATCCCTTGGAACATGTTTGGTACAGGTTACAAGCTGTCGGCTGTTTCGATGGACTGCTTTGCAGCGACATTGAAGTTTCTAAGTTCACTACTACTTGCGCCAGGGTGTTTGGATTGGCTCTTCATGTTGCAGAGGGTTTGTTTCAATTTTTTCAAAGATGCAATTACTAATGGTGCATCAACTATTTCCATTTGCCAACTTTGAGAAAACCTTGACACGGGTTGGAGGAGGTACTCAAAATACAGTGAATGAGTTAGAAATGTGAAGGGTGTGAGTTTATCAAGAATACCTTTTGCCTTGGCCTGATCACTGGCCATACTTTCCATATAACTATTAGTTATCTCAGAGAAGTATGTTTTGTCAAGTGCATCCTTTATGGCTAGTTCTAAACTATGGTTGAAGCAGTGAACACTGATAAGCCATGGGATTTCAGACCTCATTAGGCCAGCTAAACCCCTTTTCTGCCCTAGATTAACATTTTTACCTTCTGCACCTATTCTTACCAAGTGTTTCTTGTAGTATTTCATGTCCAGTTTAAAGTAGCTTCTTCAAACCCTCTTATAGCCTAGATGAATTTTTTTATGAAAATAAAATCATATATCTGTGTATTTTCTACATTAATTTCATAAAAGAAATGGAACAATTTATCTGTCTTCATATTGTACATAAGATAAAATATAAACAGCCCAGTTTGCGAGAGGAAAACAAAATTTCGCAAAATGAGGTGAACTAGTAGGCTATATAACATAAGCTTAGTCCACAGATGCTCCAAAGATTAACTTACTGTACACTGTTTATGGACCATATATATATACAGGCTAACATAGTTATCGTGGGTGGCTGATGTGAGGAATTCTTACTGAGAAGTGTTGTCTGTCCAATAAATAACTTGGATAATGCCTGAGGAATTCATCAACTATATTGCCTAATGTGCCGTTCAGTCATTGTATATTTCATAATATTGTCCTTTTTTCAGTGAGCTTCCCGTAACTCCCACAATAGAATTCCTACAAAAATTTCTAAGTCATCGAAGTTTGGGTTCAAAAGTTTGACATAATGAACATGATATTTCTGTAACATGATCTGAAACCTCAGTTTTGATAGTCATCCATGACTTCTTTGGATCAACGATCTTTTTCCACATTTCAATGGCCACAAGCTTCGGCATGTTGAATAAAAACATGAAAGTCTATTGTCAAAGATACTGAAGATTTACAGCTTAGAGGTAGATCAGTGTGAAAACAAACCTGATCATGTTTGTAACTGTATGTATGTAGTCTAGTCTAGTCTATTGACCCTTACTAGGCACATTCCAAATATTATGAACAGACTTCTATAAAGTTTATGTATACATGATTTGCAGATAACAGTTTGTGAAAATATTGTATGTGCCATTGGGTGGGAATTTCTAAGAAATGAACATTAGCTTTGGCTTTGGTATATTAAACTGAAACATTACGGCACTTTCATTGAGTTGTGGAAGGTCTGGAAGACGTCATACAAGAGAAAGAAATGATTCATATGTTATGCTAAGTAAACAGAAAAGTTATTTACAACTGTGATTGTTTTTATTCACAAATTGTGCTGCAAACCCAGATATTTTATCCCCTGCCTGATATATACCCACCCAAAGTAAAACTGATGGTTAATTAAACTCACAAAAAAAACAGTTAGTGTTGAGTAAGTTATGAAAAAATAGATCGCAATGATGTTAAAGATACTAGTTTTTTAAATATTGTGAAGATAAATGAAGTTTCCTAACTTTCCCCACCAAGAATCACTTTACTTTTCTTCTTAAGAAAAGGATTTCTGTTAAACAGAGTTTATTAATAAATTCCGTGGAATTAATACACTTTTCTTGCTTATATATATGTATATATATTTGTTATTGTTGTTGTTTATTTTTATACCATAGCAATGGGCATGGGACTGTGTGTGGCATTTATTGCATTCGTAAGATTACCAAGTTTAAAGGTATCCACTCTGCTGCTTACTGGTCTGCTCATCTATGATGTCTTCTGGGTAAGAATCAGCTTTTATTTTTACAGAATTGTGTTTGAAGTCTGTTAAAAATTCAATATTTTTTTTATATTTATTAAAGTACACCTTGTCAAGTACTGTTGATACACATACAAATAATAAGAAACATATTGATACACTACACTAGTCATATAAAATGTCATATAAAACTAGTCCTATAAAACTCTCTCACTACTGACTTGAAATTCAATGATTTGCTTGTTCATTTTTTCTTTTCAAATATTGACTATCAAACATAGCAAAGTAATTTTGGTTTTAAGATTGAAAGTACTTTTATGCATCAGAACATTGTCAAAGCTTGCATGCAAAATCTTAATAATTCCCTTATAAACTCCAGATAATTATCAAACGTTTTCTTTAGAAAAACTTTATATTTTATCTGTTATTTTCACTATTGTCTCTTTATGGGTTTGGTCGATTTGACCGACCTTGTAACCAACAAAGGAAATTAGGAAATAGATATAAATTACACTTTTTTCCTTCTAGAATGACTACAAATTATATCAAGAAACCACAAATGTTTACTCTTAAGTAGCTTAAATCTCATAACATTACACATCTATATATATTTATTATTTTATCTTATTGACCTTTCAGCCATGTCTAACTAACATAACATAAGTTGCAAATAAGCAGTGCACTCGTGTTACTGTATCCAACAGTATAAAACTGGCCTTTACAAAGTGACCTGTCTTTGGTTTGTTCTAGTGAACCAGTATTTTGTAAAATACAGTCACATTTTGGTTATAATATATTACATATGTATATATATTATTAATATTTACAAATAAGTTCTTAAATTTCATTTATTTTTCTTAAAACATAGAACAGTAAATAAAGAAATATAGAAAACTTGCCCCTTCCTTCCCAGATTTGAAACAAAGAAATAATCTTGGGAACTTCCCACCTTCTAGAGGCTGAGAAAACCATGTGGGTTACATTCTGAGCTTTTGTTTGGTTATTCATATGTCAGACAGAAGTAGGTGTACATAAGCAAGTATTTCCAAAAATGAAAGAGGTGGGCAAGGCCCACTGTGTTTGATTTGCTAAATGTAGTGATATCTCAGCAAATAGATAGAAGGTTCTTATTTTATATTCTAGCTTGTCAGTATCAGTAATTTGAGTTTTTACTTCATAAGAAACTATAGATTTTGTTTGTATATGGACATCACAAGCATCTCATTTGAACCAAAGCTGCATTCAACATACCATATGACACACATAAATTGATATTTATGAATTTTGTTTTAATATTTACTTTTAAATTAAGCAATTAATTAATGTATAATACTGAAATTTGAATTATAATCTACAATGTGATACCAAACTTATTGGCATACATTAATAAAATAGTAGATCAATAATATTTTGAATGTAAGTCTACAAACGTGATGGCATGTCTTTTGACCCTGACCGTAGGAAGACTCATAGTGAGAGGGTTAACACACACAACAATAGTCATAATAAATGTATTAGTACACTAAATAAGTAGCAAGAACATGTTTCTACATTGAGTCATAAGAAATGTTTTAACACACACACACACACACACCACACAAGTCATAAGAATTATGTAAAGAAACAATATAAATCAATGGCAAAGAGTTACTCACCACAAAGTCATGAGGAGCATATTGACAAAGAACAGGAGTCTGTAATATCTACTGAATTATGTTTTGAATCAATCATGCAAAAAATCTGTATTTCAAAAAAGTCGTTTAGTAAAGAATGATTTGTTTATTGCATGTTGTTCTTTTTAATGCAGGTTTTTTTCTCATCTTACATCTTCAATGCAAACGTGATGGTTAAAGTGGCAACAAGACCAGCTGATAATCCGGTATAGTAAATAAACTAATTTTCAATTTTAATTGGCATGTTTGTAACCAAAAAATAAATTATCATTCCTAACAACAATAAAAAAATAACTCCCAACTACTGTATTATATCATACTTCAGGGTGTTAAAGAAACCTTCTCACATGTTGGTCAGCTTAACCCTCAAACTGTCAACATGTTTTTATACCATTCATTACTGGTGAGATCCACGTATTGCATTATGTTGGGTAATTTTTTTTTTCTCAAAAACATTTGGTGAAATCATTCATTTTCAATGTAAAATACATAGAAAATCCCAGTACCAAGTGAGACTAATTAAAGTATTGATGTTCATTTTTGTTTACATTTTTCTTTTACTTATTTGTTATTAAAGACAAAAATACATGGACCCACAAGTAATTTGGTGCAAAAATTATTTTGAAAGATGTGATTTAAAAGCAAATGGGAAGACTATCAAACATGCAAAGTAATTGTGGTTTTAAAATTAAAAATACTTTTATGCATCAGAAAATTGTCAAAGCTCGAATGCAAAATCTTTATAATTCCCTTATAACCTCCAGATAATTATCAAACTTTTTCTTTAGAAAAAACCATATGTTATCTGTTATTTTCACTATTGTGTCTCTTTATGGATTGGTCGATTTGACTGACCTTGTAACCAACAAAGGAAATTAGGAAATAGATATAAATTACACTTTTTTCTTCTAGAATGACTACAAATTATACCAAGAAACCATTAGTTTAGCTATGGTCATTAACACTACAGTTACCAACCTGCTTTTGTACTGTTTCCTATCGGTGGGTCCACAGAATGCATCATAATAAGTAATTTTATGTTTTTGCCTATTACAACATTCATTGCAAAGAACTGAGCAAAATCAGTCATTGTTTGTAAAATATGTGAGGAAACTCCAGCAGTCATTAGTGTAATTACTTGTGGTATTGGTGATATTTTTATGTGTACCTCAAACACCAACAAGCAATTTGGTATAGAAATAGTTTTAAAAAATGTATTTTTTTAGGGTTAAAGATTAATTGAGAATAAGCTACCTGACTTAGTTTGGGAAGATAAAATGAAAAAAAGAGCATAAAAAAACTTCTAAACTAAATAACAAAAAAGTACTGTCATTTCAGCTGCATTTTTTGGGGGGTTTTAAGTACTTGTGTCTATTAGTTTAACAAACAAAATGTAACTTAAAGTTTGGGCTAAAGCTAATTTGTATCATATTATTGCTAAATACTTTCCAAGTAGAAAGACTTCATTAGCTTGATTTGATTGTTATCTTAGTTAACTTAAAATTTTTGCAGGTGGGCATAGTTGCCAAACAATTTCACCTGGGGGGAATGGTCCGTGAAGCCCCAAAACTTTCACTTCCTGGTAAACTGGTGTTTCCAAGGTGATGTATTGGTTTAGTTGTAATCACTCAGTTATTCTTAATAGTACTGTTCATTAATTATGTACTTTCTTGGTGATTTGTTTTATTTAGATTTATAGATTGTAACCATGTGACACTGTTTCACATGATGCCATCAAAATAATATATCCTTGTTCTGTAGTGATCCCAAGGTCTCTTACTCTAATCCTGGTAAATGGTTTAATTGTTAATAATAATAAATATTATATAGATAAAAACTGCTTTAATGAATCATAATACATTTTGATAACTTCTTTAAGGTAAGAGTGAAATATATCAAAACTGAAAACAGCTTGCAGTTAACCACTATTTTTTTTTTTTTTTGGTTTTAGTATGCATAATAATGGCCACTTCTCGATGTTAGGACTTGGGGATATTGTAAGTATATCAGTCTCTTTGTATAGGTGACTAATAATTAAATGTAGGTTTTTAATCTGTTTATTTCCTCAGTAAATCAAAAGACTGTATTGTTAATAACAAGTAAAATATACAATATGAACAAGTAAAGAAACTTCAGACTAGAAGTTTTTGTACATATATTGCTTAATCATAAAAAAAGAACCTTTGGCATGTGGACTAAAACAGGAGATGTCTGATCATCTAAATCAAATATCTTTCAAAGTGTACAACCAAAGATGCATTACAAGTTCACTTTATGTTTTATGAAACTCGCTTTATGATCAAGGGAAAATTAAATTAGTTTGTTGAATTAAGAAAAAGTTTAATCTTACATCCTGCTGCACTTATTTTTCTTTTAAAAATTATTATAAATTTAAGTAGCTTGTTGCTAACTTTTTCAGAAAATTATAGCATTTTTCCTTCCAAGAAACTATTTGGTCATATGTTAGATTTAACTTTGTTGATTTTATTGCAACATACAGGTAATGCCAGGGCTCCTGCTTTGTTTTGTTCTACGGTATGATGCTTACAAGAAATCTCTGCTTAGCTCAGCTGAAACTGGAGTGCCTCCACCAAACCAATTAAACAAGATATCCTACTTCCATTGTTCTCTAATTGGTTACTTCTTAGGTTTGTATACATCTATTTCTAATTGTCCAAACAAAATCCCAATCAACTAATTGCCCTTTTACTTAGAAATTATAATGCACTAAAATACTTTCTTCAAGATAGCAAAATTATAACAAATACCATTAAAAAAAATCATTATTCTACATTTATTAAAAAAAACTTATTTTACAATAAGGAGCAGAATTATTTAACATTTATAAAATGTTTGTAATGGGAGTATAGAAATAAAAAGTATTGTATCTCTTTGAAGCTGTAGTTTCACCAGATTCAGGTTAGTTCAGGACTCTCCATGAGTTGTGCAGGATTTCTTTTATCAAACTTTGTGGTTTGGCACACATGACAAAATAAAGCTTAATTTATATATATCTTTTATCATTCCAGGCCAATAGCCCAGTTATGCTATTTTAGCTGTTTTTCCTAAATTGACCAGCATTTAGATGGTCATATAATTCAACTAATATAAAAAAATTGGAGGAATAACAACACCTCTAAGTTCATCATTATATACAACTTCTTGTGTAATACCATACCTTGTCATTTAAAACAGTGTCACAGATATTTAATGTATTACAAATATGATTTCACAAGTAAAAGCATTATCGGGTACAGACTAAACTTTCTTGTAACAATAAGGTACGTTAGGTTTAATAATAATAATAATAATAACTTAGTATTCTCAAAATTGTTTAATCTCAAAGTCCATGTTCAAGGGAGGTGCAGTTCAATCTACACTTTGATCAACATGTGTTATTGGGTTATACTAGTTTTGGAGAATTCCACTCTTCATCAGGAACCCTGAACACAAGTTAACCAAAGAGAGATAAGCTGGACCTATATCATAATGAAAAGTATCAAACATGTTGTTGGTGATAATGTGCTTTGTAGTCACTAGTCATTATTACATCTGCTATTGTTTGCCTATATAATGTGAAGAACTGAATAGTGGCCAATGACACTTTTTCTTCACTTCACTTATCCAGTGTACAGGTTTTCTCATTAGTCACTATAAAGCACGTTCACACCAACAGTATGTTTGATAAGGTACTTTAGGTTTACAAAGTCACTTTTAGTAACTTTGATGGTTAATTGTGCTTTATGAAATTTAGAAGACACAAGTCCAAGGTACTTTAAATGTTTTTGAAAGGCTGGTAAGATTGTCATTATATTATGTATATATGCCTTACAACAGATACCTTTTATTCCATCCAGTACCTTATTCACAAATCTTTGAAAAGTAGCTGAATCATTTTTCGATCCAAAAGTATCTTACTATAAAGATGATTCATTATGTGGGTGTCTGTATGTGTTAGCATCCATTAACCAGAGTTGGCTGGCTCACTTACTGTAATTTTGGTTATGATAACTGGAAACTGTCCAACAAGTCCACGGGCTACTTTGTTTTATGATTTTTCCCCAAGAAAGGAGATAAAAAAGCCTCTGAAATATGGCATATTTTCATACACTTTTGGCTCGCATCACCCACAATTGGCTGGCTTGATTACTGGAATTGTTTGTTTTGTAACTGGAAATTATCCAGTGCTGTACATGAATTATTTTCTTTTGGGGATTTTGCTCAAGACGGAGGGATGAAAAACACCCTGAAATAGGGCACACTTCCACTTTTTTTTTATAGACTGTTGGCTTTGAATTTAAATACATGAGTACGTATTCAGCTAATTTAGTCAATTATTACTTTCCATAAAGTAAGGTATGGAACATCTAATGAGGTCATTAGGGATTTAATAACAAAAGAAAGAAGGAAGATTTCATTATCTAATATTGTCCTTTATACAATTTTTACTTTCTTAATGGATGCCTTCATCTAGTAACTGTAAATTAGTAGAGCTGTCATTTGAAGTTTTCTGTCTATCTTCATGTTTTGAAGTTTTAATAAGCTGAATCAAAGTCAGAACAGAACTAGACATATATTTGTAATGTCCTTCTGTCATTGGGCAGGTTCTTATATATTATCTGGTAAAAGCAACTTGAAGTCCAGTCCACATAATGATAACATTAGTTTATTTCTTCCTTAAAACTTCAAAAAGCTTCCTTCACTTGTACACTGTTGTAACTTGTATGTTGTAGGCCTAAGTAACTTTATAAATGATGCTCATAAGGAAATACTACAATTAACATAAAAGGATAAACTTACTTGCCCAATTTCTTGGCTAATCAATCAAGTACCTGAATATATACAATAACTACCACTAATCCAAATACTTAATTGAACTAAACTGACTCAGTACTTATTCACTCAAAGCAAAGCACTGATTCTTGTATTTATAACTTAGCTTTGTTTCTTGATACTCCTCAGATTTACTAGATTTTTGTGATGTCAAACTTAGAACATATTAGGCCTCTTCCCACAAATTTACTTGATCTTAATGTCATACACCTTCTAGTTATCATCTATATTAAAGCATTGAAAATATAGTTTACAAAAGTATAACATGTAACTTTTTGTTGTTCTGATAAACCAAACCAGAGCCAGCCAGAACTTTGTTTAAACCAAGCCTGATTATTCCAAATTTATTGTAACAACACCACATGTGGCGCATAGTGTCAGTTTGGTTGATAGATTAAAGCACATAGCAAAATTGAATCTTGTGTACTAAGTGATTAAATTCATCAATTCTTCAGACAAAGAAGCAAAGTGGCAAGTAGTATTCCTTCATTTTTTGTTAATTATTATTATGTTCATATTTATGTGCCTTTTCTTCTATCATTTGGTTGAGATTCGTCTTGAGTGTGTTTATGCATTATGCCAGTTTACCTAGAGTTAGTACGGTAATAATATTTTCACAATGAGACAGTGAGTGACACCATGTGGCACTGAGGCTTTTGACAAAATAGCTAAAGTCACATGACCATATGTAAATTAATGTCATCCTATCTAAATAACTTTATTTCTAATATTGTCGCTTGGTGGTAAAATAAAGTATAAAAGCAAAGAGAACTAAAAATTTATATGCCAGATGCTCGAGAACATAGAGAATAAACTGAATATTGCTTGAAACTCAGAAGTGAGGTGTGTTATAATTAATCAGACAGCTTGTTAGCGTTATATTATGAAATTTACTATTATGGTTACTTTCAGTGTTAGGCTTTCTCTTTCCAGTTTTTTTTTCCTAACTTTTTTGTGCCATGTTTGTATTTTTGAATTAGAAGTTTTGAAGTTGTGTTAAGATAAAAAAGTTGGGTTAGAAACTTTTTGAAGCTTAGATGTGTTGTTTATAGAAGTATGGACCTGAAATTTTCAGATTGCGAGTATATTTTGTTTTAATTTTGAAAGTTCAAATAAATACTGTTTTGTTTTTAAAAATTATGGTTATTAATGTTTTGATTGTATTAGGCCATCAAGAAATTAAGGTCACATTTTGGAACACTTTCATTAACCACCCCCAAAAAATGTACATCACATATAATAGTTAAATGAACTGCCTAAAGGTCACTTTAGTGTAGCCTATATAATGTGTAAAGTTCAGTATACTCTAATCCCTTATAGTGATGGCACATGATGAGACACACATTTGGCATGTAATGCTGTTTGAATACAAGAAGGGAAACAACGCCTCTGTAGCCACAAAGAATATCAAAGAAGTTTATGGAAATGTTTTTAACATTCGTAAGTGTCAACAGTGGTTCAGAAAATTTTGTTCAGGTGACTTTAGCCTTAAAAACTGTAATGGCAGGGGCTGACATGTTGTAATTGATATTGATGTTCTGAAGACGCTTGTTGAGTCTAACCCAAGGCAACACACTTGTGAAATGGCTCTGAAATTGCATTTCTATCATGAAACAACACATAAACATCTAAGGAATATGGAAAAACTCCATAAAGAGGTGTTTGGGTGCTTCACGAACTCTCCGATGATCAACGTTTCCAATGTGTGAATGGTGCTTCGTCTCTTCTGGAGCGTAATGCGCATGAACTATTTTTGGACAGAATTGT